TTTTAAAATATTTTTTACTTAATTTTTTACCATACAAATTGATATTTATTTATTTTTATATACATAAGTAAAAGTAATAAAGCATGCATAGATATCATGTGTTATTAATTGTTGCGTGCGCAAAACTAATTAAAAAAATAATAAACCAACAATTTATTTGTATTATAACTTTTATTTATAATTTTTACTTGTTATGAAGTAAATATATGTATATAAAGGCAAGAGTCTAACTAAAATGGAAAAAATAAACTATTTTTAAAATTTAGAGTTATAAAATAAAAAGCAATTTCTTTTCGTATCTTAATTTACTCCGTGGACATGTTACATTATTTAAACTTTAACATCTCTTACATCTATCGGAAGTTCTTCCAATATATTGACTAAAGATCCAACCATCAAATAAGTACATTATATTGTGTAAAAAATTATACACAGAAAAAAGTTATAGACTTAGTTATTAAAAAATTATAAAAGTTAATCTTACACTTGATCGATAAGTACTTCAACCACTAAGGAGGTTATAGCTTAGTTCATAAAAGGATTTGTTCCTTCTATTGTTAATTAAGATTTAATACATTAAGATAATTAATAAAAAAAATTTATAAATTTTTTAATTTTAACATATAAAATCTAAAAAATCAAAACATCTTAATACCAACACGTTTCATCATAATCATTTGTTAATTGAGTTTCAATTAATAATATATACTTAACGAATGATTATGATAAATATCTTAATATTAATATTAAGACTTACTGATTTTTACATTTTTATTTAACATAATTAATTTATCCAGATTAAATTAATATTAAGTTGTACGCAGTCTTACTGCGGTTCCCAACTTCCCATGGCTGCTTTAAAAAAAAAAAAAGAAAAAAGGTAGTTCAACCAATTCTGATAAAGAAAATGCTAAGTTCGGGCCCACTATTCATATCCGGATTCATCATGTAATAAGTCTCTGAATCCTTTGACCCGATGATCCGTTGAAAATTCGCGCGCAAATACGTCAACTGCCCGTCTTGATTCTCTGCCGGTAGCACACCGGCGCCCATTGACACCGCGTACAGATGCTGCATTACCATCAGATCTTCCTCCCCCGGCTCTCGCTTTACAGCGTACCCCGCTTTCCTGCCATTGCAGTACAGGGTCCAAATCGGTTCGTCTAATACGCTAATCTTTTCCGACGGCCGCTTTTCGCATTCCAGAGCGATTCTGATGAGCCCCAATCTCATATCTTTAAGTAATTTTTCGGTGGGTATCGCTAATTCGAGTAAAAGAATGGGGAGGGACCTGGAGTTTTCATGGATTGCGAGGTTGATTCTGGCTCTCTGGTGCCCAAATAGGGTCCCGGTCATTCGCATTCCGCCACAGATGTAGTCATCCTGCCGGACGGGTATTTTGCACGCAGGCGTAATAATTGGAAATGACCGGAAAACGGCGCGGAAGCGCCTCAGCATCTTGATGGATTTTGATGGGCATTTCTTTTCCGCGGGTTGTTGGAGGGAGACAACGGAGTGTGTAGGGCTCATTGTCGATGGCGGTGGTGGGTGGTGGAGATCTATTGTTGGAGGAGAAGAGATATATATATATATATATATATATATATATATATATATAAACAGTGATTAGTACACCCAATATTTCAACATTCGATTCAATACTCTTCGATTTAATTATTAAAAAATTATAAAAGTTAATCTTACACTT